TACAAGAGTTTTTTAAAAAAATCTAGTCTTGTCGATCACTCCTTTCTCTATCATTTTTATTTTGAGCGAAATCTAGTTCATACTTTCAATTTTATTCTTCTTGCGATTAACAAGAACGTAACCAATGAAAAATTTATAAGACAATATCTTATGATTGGGAAATGTTTTTATATATCTTGTTTGGTCTCTAAACCCATTAATTAATTCTTCTTTGTTAGCTATCGTTATACGTCGTGACAGCCAAGTTTTATTATTTAATCTATCAGCGTAGTATAAAAATGCGACAAAATATCCAGCTAAAATAGGAAAATGGTGGAAGGTCGTGGAAAGAATCTCGTACAGAGAGCAACGCCGAGCGACAAAGTTCGAGCAACTCAATCACTCGCAGGGCTTTTACTCCAATTTTCGACATTGACGAATTCCCGTCTGCGGTGACGTATGCGTGGGCGATAACTGTGGGCGCGCGCTCGCGCATCTCTCCGATGGAAACACGGCGGGAGCGATTAATCATCCAATCCTTTGACAATGGCCGGAAAGCCTAGCGGATTTTCACAACGAAGGTGTTTCCTTCTGCCAGCTGTCGGCGAGAGCGGAATCAAAGAAAGCAAAAACTCAGAGGCCTTAATACGTTTATAAACCAACTCGTTTACGCCGGGGCTCGCTTCCGCCGACTGGCTCCGCGATTTCGACCAAATTATCCGCGTCGTTCCTTTCCCCTGATGCCGAAATAAAGACGACGTTTCAGAATTTCCCGCGACCGTGGCTTTATCGAGAGTTTTCGGTATATTTTTTTCGTTTCAACTCCTTGGAAAAGCAGTTTTCAAACGTATATCGAAAGAAATATATTTTTTAATCTTGGGGTTAGTCGAAAACGGGATTAAAAAATGAATATTTCGCGAGATGTTCAAAAATTGTGAGACTCTCGAGAACAGAAAATTTTAATTAAGTGAAACTTTGGATGTATTTTGACACTTTTGGTGAAAATAACATGAAATATATGGTATGTTTTTAAAATGGCATTTTATCGAATGGGCGAGGTTACGAGCGTGTCGTTTACTGTTCGCTACGGATTTATAAAACTCCTAAAAGGACCAGGCAGCTTGGAACATAAAATTCGGCTTAATAATTCGCGGAAAACTGGTCCAAAAACGGTTCGTATCTCGTTTCAAAAAAAAAAAAAAAATAGACACCGGATCAAATATGGACATCCGTTCGAAAATTTCATCAAAATGTGAAACTCGGGGCGCGCGCAAAGCATCGTCGTCTAAATGAATTCGGTTTAATGGGTCGAGTCTCTCGCAAAAGTCACGTATTTTCGAAAAAAAACCAAAATGAACGTTCGCAAAAGGGAATTTAGACTGAACAGGATATTCGAGAGTTGAAGAAGTTTCTACCGATGAATTCCAGTTTCATCGTTTTGTATGGAAAATTTAATTCGTCGAATAGCTGAAGAATTTCGTTCGAGGTGCATCAAATTCACGGTTAAAAGAGGTATAGTAGAAATTTGACGAGCAAAATTACCTTAACTGCCTTTGGTTACATACATCGTATGCAAAGCATGATGAATCAACGTGTTTACGTAGGCATTTTACGTGTATTTCTACTCTATGAAGCCAATTATTTATGCTTGAATTTGATATTTCAATCGAACAATCGTCCAAAGCACACTTTCTGCAGGCGGGAATCATTCTAACGTGATAACAACGTTACAATAATGCATTGACCGGCTCAATGACCGAATTTAAATTCAGTACAAATGCTGTAAATCGATGTTGCAAAATCTGTTGAATCTGAATGATGTACTCGATATCATTCAAAAAGGATACAATGACATTGGTATCAATCGGTGCATTCGGCTTATAAACTCTCAACTATAGAGACGAGTCAAAGTTATTAAAAAAAAAAAAAAAATCAACAAAATATCAATTCTACGTTTCTATTATATTTACTCGTTTGAAAAGTATATTACTCGTTTTTAATTTCAGATTAATAATTTGGACATTATACAATCTTCTACCATATAATATTATGTAACAATATGTCTTTGGTTTGAATGTTAAAAATAGTTAAAAATGTTAGAAAAAAGTATTTGTAACCTATAAACACCTTCTACATAAAAAACTATAATCTACAAACTAAAAAATCGATCTTTCTAACGCATATTTATAGAAATTTTATTGTTCCTTTCAATTAGGTCTATCAAAGTTAACGCGTGAAGTGTCATGGTGAGCACTAGTAACTAAACGATTTAGCTTGTTTTTATTTATATTATATTAAATTAATTTTCTATTTCTAACTCCGTTATCTTTGTAAATTCGATTTTAAACTTTTTAATTCTTAAAACTGTTACACGAGAATCTTCCCTTAATGAATACATTTACAAATGTGCAACGATTGGAACAAATCCATATGAAAAAAGAGGGATTTCCTCGATTTTGAATAAAGTCCTTTCTATAAAAATACGTTAAAAGAATTCTCAATACTAAAAATAAATAACAAAACATTGGTCAAACAGACGAATTTTCTTTGATATAACGACTACACAACTTGGAATCTCGCCATTGCAAACGAATGCATTTTCTCGCCTTGTACCGTGCACGTTATTCAAAGTTGTCATTTATTTTGTTCTTCTTCGTTCGCAATCGTTCATTCAGTACGAACAATCTAAATTTCTAGCAATTCGACAAAAGTATGCTTTCCCAAGTAAATACAATTTCATTATTTCCTTTATCTGTTGTCTACAAGTTCAAACTTTATCAAAATAGAGAAGCGTGTATCTATTTACCGTAAATAATTTATCTATTTAAAGTTAAGCGATTCCCTAATAATTATTTATTCTGTTTGTCAATTTCTGATTTGTATAGCTTAAAACTTGCAAAATCTCTTTGAAACTCTCACACTGACTCCAATACTTATAAACTTTTAAATAACGTCATTGGGAATGCAACAAAATAACAAGTATATATACCATTGGAATCATTGGTTTAATTTGACGGATGGTTTAGGATGCAGGATCATACTTGTTTCCACAATCGATCTAATAAAACGGACTTTATATAAAAGCGAAGAAATCCGAATATCTCATAAAGTTTCAGTTTTATATCAATTTAAAGATTCGACACTGTGACAACTCTACGCTTGACCAAAGAGCAAGTAAACATGATATTTCGTTGCATCTCTACGATTAAGCTTTCATATCGTTCCCGGACACTTTCACCGTCAGTTTTCCGTACGCTCTGGCTACAACGGACGACGAAAGGGACGTTAAATCCTCGGAAATCGACAATCGGGGACAAAGTCGACGGGCAGGTTCAAGTTCCTTCATCGGTGGTTTGACCCAGACGATTCAACAGTCGCGATTACCTACACACGCATGCGTCAATTCCACTAGCGCGAACACATCCACGTGTTTGTCGTAACGCTACCACGCCGATTCTCTTACAGAGTTCGCCCCGGGGAAACTTGAGTTAAGCACAACTTTTAAAAGTCTGACGTTGGAACGTCGACATCGAGGCGAGTTCGTCGTCCTTTCGAGGAAACCGTTCGACCTACTGGGCTCACTTAACGTTTCCGCCTGGACAGTTAAAACCTTCCTCTTATTTCCTTCCTGGTTTCTCTCATATCCGCCCTACGAGCACGGCGCTTCCGATAGATCGGAGTAGCCCGTTCCTCGAATAACCGAACAGCTTTGTTCTTCAGGTCGAGCCCGCGACAGGGGCACTGTTGACATCGAATTCAATCCTTCGGACTGATCTATTGCTAGCTTGCTATTGACATTCAATTCGAGATCTTAGTTGGAACTGTGTAACAAGTTTGCCACTGATATCGAATTCGAGATTTCAGAGCGACCCATTGCAGTAACAGGACCGCCGCTAACCTCGAATTTGACCTACGACCTCAACGGACAACGTATTACCCGACGGACGTCGAAATTCGATGAAGCTTTGTGTGATTCAAACGTTATCTATGTTGTCAGCTACTACCACGAAATATTTTATTTAATATTATTTCGAATAACAAATCTACCTGTGAGAACAGTTTTAATAAATACTTGTCCGGTTAACATGTAACGATTCCACTTGGAGCTGAAGGGGATTTTTATAAACGTTTGACTAACGACCATCGAACATGTAACGCGATGAAAGACATTATAAATTGTTTACGTGTAACACGGTGACAAATATGTATTTGATATGCTAATGGGACGTGTAATAATTAATTTGTACAGATATAGTAGATGCAGCGCAATTATTTATCCAGCTACTGTGCCGCTCATACTTATTCCAACGACTATGTGTGTTGGGAAGAGCAAGTATTACATGTTTTAACAGGCGAGAACGTTATGGTAATGATATGATCTTATGAAATTTTTCGCAGCGTACTTACTACAAAATTGTTAACACAATACGAAAGCGTGCGAACAAGAAAAATACAAAAAAAAAGTTTTAAAACAAGTTGTGTCCCAGGACGAAAGTTCATCTTATAAGACAAACTCTGCAGAGATCTTCTTTCGTGCTTTAATAATAAATTATCAGAGCAATAAAAGCGAACTCGAAGATTCGATAGTGTTTTCGCGTTATTAAAGCTTGCTCGAGACTTCTCGGGCTCGGGATACAATTAGAATAAATAACAATCTCGTGGGCCAGCGGAAGTCACACGGACTTCGCAATAATTGGAAATGTAAATAAGCCGGAACCTCGGGTCTCGCGAGCCTTGATTTGAATTTTAAAATTATGTTTAACGAACGCTTTCTAGCGTAGTGTTATCGCCAAGTGTAGAAGATCGCTCTACTCGAAAATTGTCGCCATGTTTATGCAGTCGTTTAACCCGACCATCGTACTAGAAAGCACACTTCCTCGGTTATAAATATTTATAAACAAACCTGTAGCGAGAAAGAATTCTTAAAAGAAACTAAATACTCGAAGACACACGAGTAACGGTTATGTTTGTCAATAAACGTTCTGTGACTCGAAAGACTTCTGTAAATGAGAGCGACTCACCTTCGATGGCTTCAAGCAACGAAGACAGTTGGCCGAGCGCCTCGTTTCGCGTCGTCCATCGCAAACCGCTTTCTTCCGGTCATGGATCTCGCCGTGTGGTCGGGGAAGCCTTAACAGAACACCGAAGCAAAACGTTCACCAACATCCATTATCGTTTCCTACGTGTCATTAAGAACCGAACGACACGAATCAATCATTTCGAAACCATTTACTCCATACGGAAGCACGTTTGTTTATCAGTACGTTAATCTCTGCACTCCGTGAACGAGACACGAGACACCGTTCCCTTTTATCGCAGTCAACGATTACCTCGAGTAAGCGTCAACGTCGTTTCCAGAGCTCGTGAAACCGCGAACACTCCGACGCACTTGGACACCGCGGTCCCGCGGAAAAATTCTCGAGTCTAATTCGTCCCTTCGCGTCTCACTGCACATCCCCGGAAGGTTCCGCGGTACCACCCGATCCCACGCTTTCGTTTTTTAACCGGGGAGAAAACTTGTGGAAACTCGCGGGACGAGGCACCGACGACGCGAAAGGTAAACCGCGCACAGCACACGTACCTACGTTTCGCTAAACGCACCGGAAACGTGGTGGCAAAAAAGTGTTTTCGAGCCGCGAAGACACCGTAATCTCGCTCGTGAGGCGCAGCGCTCTTCGCAAGGGGCGCGGCGAAACTGAGCCCGACGAGCCAACCCCGTCCCTTCTGACTCTCTCGCTCGCTGGTTCGCGCCGTCTCCGTCACGCTTACTCTTTCTCTCTCTCTCTTTCTCGACCACATTTTCGTTCCCCCTCGCCCCCACGCGGCCGCTATGCTCCAACTTTTATCCCCAGAACTGGCTCTCGCTCTCGCTCTCTCTCTCTCTCTCACTCTCTCGTTGGACGTTCGACGACCGTCTCCTTTCGCCACGGTTCACCTTTCTCCGTTTCGGACGGTCCTCTCTTTCTTGCCCCTCTTTTTCAGCCCTTTCGTTTTCTCGCTCCCGTCCATCTCGCCTTTCTTTTACCCGCTAAACGCGTCTCAATCCTCACTTCCCCCAACCGCATAGCCCGTGCAGAGGCAACCCAGTGCGCGAGCATATTTCTCCGTGACCCCCATACCAACCCCTTCTCACCTGATCCCTCAACCAATACTGTCTCTCTTCTTCGTCCTCGCCGGTTTCCACTTCCTGCCCTTCTTCTTCCGTGTGTCATTCTCACCCATCCCCCTCGACCGCCGCCATTCCGTACCTCTGTTTATGATAACGTCGACCAACGCGATTCTCGATCTTACCCTGCTGCCCTGTCCTCCTCGTCCGATGATCTCGAGATGGAACCAATCCAACGACGTACTCGTTACCGAGCTTTTGCTGGATTACTGTTCGAGTCAAATCTAGGATCTTGCCAACCGGAGACCCGGATTACGTCTAATTTACGAAATTCGTAATCGAACGAAGCTCGTGTTTTCCAGCGGTTCGACCAACTTAAACTTTCCGGAGATCGATTAAATTATAACGAAATTGTAAAACACCCCTAAATTCCTAGTGTTCTGTTAAGACCATGGACGCGTACAGAGATTTTGTATGCGAACGTTTGGATCACCGACAATTTTTACTTAACTATCGATAATATTTGTGTGCATCTACATATTTGTAGACCTTCAATTCGAAACAACGTTCCACCACCCTTATTGGATAGTCGTGAATTCTAAAATACAATTTGTTAATGTCTAAACAATTGATTATAATGTCTCTCGCATAAACTACCCCCAACCCTCTTCCTCGCCCAGCATGTTCCCCGTGGAAAGTTTGTAAATCTGGCAACCCTGATCCGAATATCTAATTTCATCGTCAGCCATAATCGGGTGTATTTGAAGAATTTCATAATTATACATTTTGGTCACGTTTTGGGGCTTTGGTCTCGCGGTGGTGTGGCTTTCGCGTGTCGCGTAATTCGTTTATTTTGTTCGCTTTTTTTTTTACGTTTAACGGTAGGTGGACGTCGAGGAGACTAGGCTCTTGAATAAATGGAATGGATCCCTGTTCATCCGTGTCGCTTTTGTTCTTTCTTTCAGAGCTGTCCTCGACTTTCGTAGATATAATTTTAATGTAATTAATAACTCGTCAGTGCATTTTCGTGTGTTATTTAATTTTCTTCTCCGACCCCCTCGAAGTCTTCACGGCTGCTTTAATTCGCAGCTTTTGTTGTGATCTACCACCGGCGACGTTTAAAATTTCATTTTGTACGTAGGAATATACTGCACCCCCGTGTAACAGTCGCGAGAATTTCTTTCATTACGAAGAAATCATAGTTTTGTACGTCAGAATTGTCGACGAAGTTTTCTGGTACTCTTTTATGATTCTTTCTATTAAGCGTCGTTCGGGCATTACGTTCGTTAAACAATCAGAAATAGATTAGAGGGTGGTATTTTCGGATTGGGGGTACAGAGAGTGAAATATTTCCACCGCCCACGCTTTATTTTTTTAAAGAAATTTACACATTTCATGGTAATCGCCCGCAAAATGGCATATACCAAAAAAATACAGATGGTTTCCTGTTGTTTATTAAACGGCGCTGAGTATTTATATTAATTTCATTGAAATTCGAATAAAATCTTTTGTGGAACATTAATTACAGATTTAATCGCGGTAAACGTATGTTGGATATCAGGTCTTTATATTTAAATAATCATTCGTTCTCAAACGTTCGTTTCGGGATTAAAATTTTCGAGCTATCCAGCCCAGGTGCAAAAAGTTCGTTAAAAACTCTTTATTATTTATTTGTATGGATCTCGTTCCCGATAATATTACACAATGTCATATATACGAAAATCAATAATGCCGCGAGGAAACTGAACGATGCTTTGTTACAGTACAGAGCCATCGGAAATAGAAGCCTTCGAAAAAATCCTCGAACGTAAAATAAAATTGCCACGAATAAGCCTTTCCCATAAAGACTTCCTCTTTTAAAAATCACCGGCTAAATTGAAATGCGCGCACGGTGAATTTATAAGTATTCAGTCGATTATACGTTTGTTTTGTCGTATCTATATTCAAATAAACAGCGAACAGTACGACTCCTATCAATAAATAATTGAGAACCAACGGTTGAGACGTTTCTTTCCTTGAAATAGTCATGCATCAAGATTTCAAGCATTGAATGTAGAACGAGTCGAATTTATTATAAAATAAACTACGAAAAGAATGAGTTATGTTAATACAATAATATGACGATCATCAACGAAGTGATTGACTACGTGCCAAAGAATAAAATCGTTTTAAAGTATCCTAATTTCTAGACCATGTAATCACGAAGGAACGCGTAATTTTTACACTTTGTTTTCAGATAATACTTGTAAGATAAATTAGATTACGTTCTGCGTGGGAAAACTTTACCTCTTCAGGAATTTGCTAATTTATAATGAAGTTTTGAAATTTGAATAATTTGAAGAATTTCCGACAGGCTACGACGCCAGAATATTTGTTAGTACCTGATATATCAATCTTGTGGTTTCCAGCGTTGTAACGGATGTTGAAACTATTTTGTAGAGAAATATTTCGCTCGAGATGTTTTTCCATCCCATATATTCTGGTGATTTTAAAATAAAATTTCTACCACGACGAATTCCCGCGTAAATATGGACGTAAACAAATATTCTAAGCAGCGGTGGTTGTTAATTACACATGCACTGCTGCGCTTAAGAAAAAATCCAAGGGCCTATCATTTATCTTTCTGCTCTGGTACTTTTTCTTAAATGCATTAATAACGAAGTTATGACGTAAAACAATTGCGTGGGTCCTCTATAACAAATAGTATTTATAATATTTACCGAATCGACGGGTTCTGTAAATTTGGTCTTAAATGATTCGTGAATTAAAAAGAATTCGACTTGGGATGAGTTAAGGGAGGCAATTCTTAACGAAGCTGGCACAAATCCCACGAAAAGTAGTAAGAGAATATCCAACCTGACGTGGAATCCCGAAAGTCACCGTGCACATATCTTGCTTAGGCAGCTGCTGCATCCTTATCGCCAGCAGCGAATAGGAGGATTTGAATCAACTACGTAACGAGCTTCCGAGAAGAACACTTTGCGAATAGTTTCTGACAAACTGTGTCGAAAATTCTGCATTCCTCGTTTTAATACCGTTTACCTGGCAACTGAATTCTCGAAAAGCTGTCGCGAATACCAGTCGACGTATTAAATAAAAGTCAATTAAACGAGAAACATTGGACTCTCGCAAAATTCAAAGCTCTCCTCGTCGAGGGTTTTAGGGATTTCTAAAATGGCCGCTCTCCTATGACGGAACTCGCGACGATTTTAATAAAATCTGGCCATCCGTTCCTGTGTTATTGTATTCGAGCCTCGGCCATCGGACGATCAAAGGGATATGATTTCGTTTGAACGGCAACCGTTCGATCGACGCATATTTGCCGATGAGACCGAAAAAAAAACTTAATCTGTCATGCCGTCTGCCGGGATTCGAAATTAATTTCACGAGGAGCATATTAGCCACCACTGGGAACCACCCACTCAGCTTCTACTTGCTTTTACCATCCGATGATCAAGCACCGTTTAAATCACCGCCGATTATATTTCCCGCGATGGTCCTCCTGTAACGATTATAACGTGGCACAACGCATTAGACAACGATTATACGTTCGACAAAGTATAATGGCGGGGCTTGATTTACGTTAAAGGTTCAATCACGTTCCATTTTCGTCGCGGTCACAGTCCGTTCAGATATTATTCGACGCTCTTCAAACCAATTAATGTGTATCGGCGTTTGCATTCGGTCATGCTGGATTAACGAGCGAGATTGGCAGAGGTATCCTTCCTTTTCCAATACCCGCCACTGCCATTCCAAACAATTGGGACAGATTACAAAAGTGTTACTTTATCTCGATTGCGAAAAAATCGGTGGCTACCTTCGCCAATTTTATTTAAACGCCTGTATATCGTGTATTGTTATCAAAGCGTTGGTCAAACACAAAATTTGAAAAGGAAAAATAGATCTTTCCTTTTTTAAATTTAATAAATATTTAACGCGAAACAAATAGGAAAGAAAGGAATATTCGATGCAGTAGAATTTGTTATCGAATGTCTAACTGCCTATCGAGGTAAATTATTAAAAGATTCGACTCGA